GGAGGCAAGTTTTTCGGATGGACGTGAGAGATATCAGGACAGTTAGGCAAAATTTATATTAGAAACGGATACAATCTAAGAAGCATAAGGGTGTCAATATCCGTAAGGGGATTTTTAGATTGACTATTGTGCACCATGCAACTTCGATTGGTGGAATGCAAATGACACTACAAACAGCAGGAAGGTTGGATGGTGCAGCGGTGCATAGTTCTGGTCGGTCTCCCAAATAAATTATGCATAGTTTGGAACCCACTGAATATAACAATGATAATCATTCTGTATCCGGCTAATATATTCTCTCCAACTAGTTGTCTTTGGCCATGATATCTGACTCAAGACAAGGTGATCAGATTGATTAAAACCCCATCTTGACAGATTTTGCTCACCCACACATGTAATTTTCTTCATTTTGTTGTATTAGAAAACGAGAGGATATTCTCTCCCAAAACTAGTTTTAGATGATTATTGTCAAGAACTGAGAGATTTTGAGATCTAATCTATACATTTTTACTTTACATTTTTTTGGATTTGATTTCATTGACCTCGCCTAGCAGCTTGTGGACCCATGCAGGTGTCCATCATATTTTCTGATTTACTTTAAACCTTCAAGCAAAAACCCCCCAGACCTTCCTATTTATTATCTATAGTTTTCTAATGTATCCTTTGTGAAGCGCAGATACACAATAGTGCCTTACATGTTAACCAATCACGTCATTCCTATCGACCTCAAGAATGGCTTGACCTGTTCCTTTGCCTCATCAACATTTCGACTGCCTCAGTCATGTGGAATTGATCTATCAAACCATGATTTAGGATCTACCGTATTATTCTTCTAATATAGCCAGGATAATCTATGAAAGCTTTGTAGGACCAGTCTTTGGAATGTCTCCAGATCTCTCCTCCTCCATTTGACCATAAAGGACAGAATATTATGTTAGAAGTGTGTGTGTATTTTATTGTACTACTTGAGTCTATGACTATCTAGCACATTGGGCTCCTCTCTGACCCAGGCCACACCTTGTACAGTGCTCCTATCCTCTTTTGTTACTTGAAAGATCATTGATATATTCCCCTTGATGAATAGCCATTCAGCTCAGTATTTACCCGTGGAATTCAGCCACCTTTTCCACGGAACCTTCTACCCATTTTAAATAAAAATGGTAGCAATGGAAACTGCGTGCGCGGGAAAAAGTCTCAAAAAAACCTGCAGCCCCAGCCAGGCGAGGCCTAGACACCGGGACCACATGAGGTGCGCATATTCATCTATATCTCCCTTCTTTGTAATAGCCGAGGTCGACTTGATCCAATCCACCATCTCCGTATCGGGTGCTGGGTACGCTCCGGAAACTCATCGGATGGCTTTTCCTCCATGATCAAGGGTGGGTGATGAGTAGGGCTCCGACCCTACCATCTGATCTGATCGTGGTTAGCTTCATGATAGTGGTGATAGGGGAATGTGTTGAGAGATGAAGACGATACAGACCGCGAAAGCGATTGGGAATCCTCTTCGAAGTGAGGACTTTGTTACTCAATCTCGGCTCTGCAGACTCTACAGTGAGAGCTGGAGGTTCGTAGGGGACACCACTGACAGGTGTTGGGAATAGTCCCCCTTATGTTAGAAGTTGTCAAGGGTTTCTAGGAGGAAATGTCTCGAAGAACAAGTATACAATTCCGGGCAGGAATTTATTGATAGTTGTATAGGACAACAAACTCTCTTCTCAACGAAAAAAAAATAATATGTAATTATCTGTTGACTTAGATTAATAAACCCCAATAAGTCTATCCTTAAATACAGATCCCCGAGGCTTTAGTGATCCCAAACTCCTAGTGATCTAGCAACAACCAGCCACTCAATTATCGCAAGGTAGCATTTCCTAGCCACTGCATTTCAGATATCACTGAACCTCATGTCGCCTAGCTGAGCTTAATCATATAGATTCGAATCAATTCAGTTGATCTTGATGAACACACCTAAAAATCTAAACCTTTAATCATGCTGAGTCTAGATTTACAACACATCAAGTGCTTGAGGTTCTGCGATTAGTAGCGATATGAACAGCCTAGACTGCCCACTCTGGGTACTTTTCTTCTACATATATACGAATTGAGGCCCTCGAGCTCACTTCGAATCTGAATCGCTACATTACTTTGGGCCCTTGTCAGGATTTCACTTTGCATAGTTCAATAGACCCTTGGTGTCTGACTGATGGCGAATTCAAATTTTATTATACTACGCCGCATTTCCCGCAGTGCTCGGGTGCTTGGATAATCAAAGGCTTTGAAATGTCCCTTCGGTGGGTACCCACGGAGGAGGATCGTGTGTTTGTGTAAGCAAGCATACCTCATATTATTGTTTGCCAATTAAATCCAGAGTAAGATCGTCTCTATCATCAAGAGAGGAAACCCTTGTGTATACATAGCACTGGTCATGTGCCATAGCTGGATAACAGAATACACTTAAGCAATAAAAGCCAATGATGGAAGGTGTTGTGGTCCGCCTCCTGGTGGTGTTCTCTGGTATAGTTTGAGTAGCCTGGGCACCTACTGCACTTGGGAAGGAAACACCTAAGACCATGTTTCGCGCAGAGAAATATGAACGGATGATGGAAGCATGTCTGGATAACTCAGGGTTTTTAGACGTTCCCCTGGGTGGATATTCACGGATGAGGGTTGACTTGGGGTGAAGAAAAAGCCACCATAACTTCGCAGTGGTACTTGCAAATGAAATCTGAGGCATGAGTGCTCTTCTTTTACGTTGAATCATCTTTTCTGTACTTTTTTTTGATATTCCGTCATAGCTAGATAGCTGCACCCGCAATTAAAATCTGATGCAAAATAAAAACACAATCAAAATCTGATCCATAAAAAATCCAAGGTTCACTCGCACGACGTTACGGGGACGAGACACAACACCTGTCAGTAGTATCAGCTACGAACCTCCCGCTCTTACTGTAAAGGCAAGATCTAGTGACACCTTTCTAACTTTGAGCTAGGCTTTCTCCATCCGAAAGATACGCTTCCGATAACATATATATAGATTAAGACTACAATGATGCTGGGAATAAGGAAAGATATTGCGGTACTAAACACTGCTACGGTAGTTAAAGAAGCCCACATCACAACATGCACTAACCACCGTTCGGCAAACAAAAAGCCCACGAAAGCAAAGTAAAGACCCTCTCGCCCTCAAGAAAATCAGATTTCGACTTGTCATCAATTTCCTCTCCTCAAGCCTTCAATCCTGCATCTACTAACGAGGAGAGCTTCTGAAGTACATGAGTTACCGAAGAACCCGTGTCCATAGCGGCTATTGGATGCTTCGCTAGGCTACTTCACGCCAGTCACTTTCGACCAAGACTTTTCTGAAATCATTTTACGACCTTCGGTTTATCCTGCGGCATGAATCAGGGAAGGAGGCTAGGAAGGTTGAGAGACAATCTTAGGTATACACAGGTCTGCTGGGCCCGGCTAACCGACCAGTGTCTTCGAACGTTTCAAAAAGGTATTTTTGTCTTCGGACATAGTCCTGATGTCGGTATTAGGAGAGCTCTACACTTAGTGATATTTGATAGCTTTACCTGCAACTACACACCTGAAGATTGCCATTGTTTAGTTAGTCGAACAAGGGAGATAAATAATTCATTTTTCCTGATTTGGCGCCTTGAGGCCCATGCAGGTTTTTATCGGAAATATGTATTCCATTTAGGATGACTTAGTTTGATGTTTACAACACTCACACTCAAATTTCATTTGCAGATACCACTCGAGGTTAACCTTACGGTATATAACTCTTCCGTACAACACCACCACAAGGAAAAGCGTGCAGAACTTATGATTATCCAAGTTTGCTTTCATCATCCAACAAATACTATATCACCGCGAGAGAGTGTGGTGTGTGGGTTTTACTGGATTCAAACCAGCTTTCTCCTATCTCAAATGGGGTAGGTTTTCAAGCTACCCGGAATCTATTTGGGAGAACAGCCCGAATGGTGTACCACTGCACAATCCGACCCGAACAAGGGAATTAATGGCTTCTTTTTGTGTGTAATCAGATTAAGAATTTTGGGGAATAAAACCGCTGGAAATATTGTAACGGAGACATAGAAGCTCCGAGATTAAACGTAGATTTGACATACAAGTCTTTGTATAGTCGCGGCTTGAACAAGTCAATAACGAGATAGGTAGTAGCACGACCGTAGTAATAATCCTAATAATATCATCTGATCGTAGTTGTACTTTCAGGTGGAAGCACGGATTAAAATTTAAACCTAGCACGGCTAATTGGCTTTGACTCACTATTATTATATTACATACGTATTTAGCTACTTATGTCTCAAAACATACTCGTACTCTAAAATTCATCAGCGAACACTATGAAGAACCGTTACTTACGTAGTAATGTTGGGCCCTGCAAAGCTTTACAGATGGGCTGTCGCAAGATTTAGGATTCGTACTCATATATGAATTGAGTATTTCAGGAAACGATGGTCGTACCTCCACATCCTTTCTCGTTGAACGCTGAATGGCGATCGACAAACAATCCGGTGTCTCTTCCTGAAGTTGTGGGTAGATGTTAGTGGCATGTCAGGTTTAGGAGGTGCTATGACTATTACTGTGGGTAAAGGGGAATGGTGATCTCATCGTTTTACAGTTCTTCATCGTTAGCACTAAAGGAAAGATTTTGAAAATGATCATCCTGTCCTCTTCATAGCAGGGTACCATATTAATGATTCGATCACAATATTGATAAGTTTCCCATTCAGTAACTCACCTATGAGGTATCTGTTACAGATTGGAAGATCAATCCAATTGGGCTAATTTAGCTAGCGTGTCTATGAAAATATGTGTACCGTAGTGCCATCCCCGTTTTGACAAAGCCTAAGATCTAGAAGAAAGCAAATTTTGAATAATATTTCCAGAGAATATAGATTATTAATAAAATGTATGATAATCCGCTACTAAAACTTCGCAGGTTCTTTTCCCAAATAATGAATGACTCCTTAATTCCCAGGGATAAGGCACTGCGATGTGCCGCACTGGCTTGGTACCTTTCGCGAATCCAATGGCTGAGGAATCAATCCAGCCCTGGTTAAATTTTGAAAGTGCCATTCAGGCGCACTCTCCGTCTTCCAATTCCAGAAAAACCATCCGGTATGCGACTCATAAGCGTCTAATTGGGCCTCAATGAAATATTGTATATTCGTTTTGTCAACCGGAAGCATGTCATCGACGGTGCCCTCGTATTTCTTGTCACAGGATCCGTAATATCCTTCAGACTTTCCAGGTAAAGTTCCGTCGTATCGGGCACCTTTTCCTAGTCCGTTCAACCATTTGGCGCAGTCGGTCTGAGCTCCAGTCCATTCTCCAACTATAGTCCATTTGTCGGTTGGCTTAATTTTGTCAACACTTGAGCAAGCTGTCTGCACGTGAGCACATGGCTTCATAGCTACTTCGTCTTGCGAAAAAACCTGGTAGATGTGTGTATCTAAGATAACATTGTTAACACCAGATTCGCTGTTCATAAAGCCATTCCATGACCTGGGGTCAAGGTATGCGTCGTGAATAGCAACCGCAGTTTGGCCTTGGGTTCTAACATTTCCCCATCCGTCATAGTAGAATTTTTTAGTTTGTGATAAATCATTACCCCAAAATACTGGTTCATTGAGAAGTTCTATTGAAGTGACAACGTCGGTGTGATGTGCGTATCGCTCTGCCAGCAATTGGATTGCACGGAGGGTACTTGGTACATTGTCCCCGCTCTGCCATGCAATGGTACCAGCGCGCCCCGAATTGTCAAACCCGTTCTGAGATCCAGGAGCTGATGAGAGTGAGTATAGTTTACAAGGATTATTGGATAAACTTACCGCAATGGATGTCGAGCATAATTTTCAAGCCATTTTGACGCGCCCAATCAATAGCCTGGTCCATATACGAAAGCTGACCCTGAACGTAGGGATCATTGGGAATGGTGACTAGAGCCCAGTATCCAACAGGAATCCTCACGTGATTCAGACCCATTGATGCTATTTCGGCAAAGTCCCTCTCTGTTATCCAAGTAGCCCAGTGGTTGTTGAGACGCGTGAATGCTTCATCTTTTCCAAGTGCTGCAGTATATGAATACTCATCTATGACGTTTCCGCCGTTGGCCCATTGCTGAAATATTGATGGAGTGATCCAAGGCTCGAGCACGAACCATCCGCCGAGGTTTACACCACGTACCTTCTGGTTGTTGAAGTCGAAAGCTAACTGACGCTCTTCTCTATGTGATATTAGTGGAATCCTACTTTTGAGTACGAGAACTTACAAAGGTACGGCGAGCACAAGGGACACTAGTGCGACAGCAGCTGGGAGAAGGGCCCTCGGATAAATCATGATAGTTCTGCTAGAATAGGGAAAGAAGTGAGAGCAGATGATTTATCTATAGTTCCAGGGCACGCTGTGGGGGGAGTAGCTGGTCTTTTGTCCTTTGCCAACCGTATTAGGGATTAGGGGGGTATCTCAGCACATATTGCTTCTTCCCCCGCACCAGCCGAGCCAGGGAGCCGGTTCTACACGGCTGGATCGACGGAGAAATGAGGAATCCGACGTCGATTTCCGAACAGCAATGACCTGCAGGTGCACCTGCTTGGGTCATTTGCTTGAGTCACTATGCTCAATGTGAGGAAGGTTTGACAGACTGGACGGCCGAGAGCTAGCATCCTGCCAGAATAACTCGGCCGCCCCGAAACAAGCAGGGACGACAAGCATGAGTGTTAGGTGAAGTTGCCGGCGGATCAATGGTTGTTGAGAACACATACGTGACCGAGTGGCTGATATCACGACGTGATGATCAAGGTTAAATTTAGGTTTTTGTTGGTCGCCCGGACACCCTGTCCCGGGAGCTCTCATTTCCCCTATGGCCTTTGTTCCCGATGATTTTACACATCTTATTTCACCATACAGGTTTTCCTAGACACATCAAACTATCGGTTGGGCTCCATCATCCACAAATGTCGCACAGACTTACTGTGGCGTATGCTTGAGCCAGAGCACCTAGCAGAATCTAGATCGTCTGAGAGCGAGGCGCATGGTCTGGGATAACAAGAGGTGGGAAATGTTACCCTAGAAAACGTAACAGGCTCACGATAATTTCTTCTGCAAGTCATTCGCCCTGCCAGCTGAGCTCATCCCGGTCCCATGTCTTGTAGTCCCTCTCCACCCGTTCCGCCTAGCATCCAAGCGCTGATCCAAATAGCTTGAGTGACCGGACAGCCCCTGATGGGCTCGGATCAAAGCACGTGATATGAACATCGGATATGCGGACAGATGTCTCGTGTAAGCACTGGCATTAGTGAACAGACAAAGGCGTTATTCTACAGTGAGCAAGTCAGCGCTCATCGGTATAGCTCACAGTCTCACACATGTGACCTTCTATGGCTGCAGGAGCTATTCAGGGAACGCGTTCTCAATGTGGCCTCGGCGCCTTAAGCAGTCTCAGGCATGTACAAAATTATCTGGTTTGTGAGTGGATGACTGTCGTCGTTTTTTGGAAGACATCGGAGAAAGGAATTTTGACATCTGTGACTCACTGAACCGTAGACGTGCCGCATCAATTTTGCAACGACCTGGGGTTTCTGGAGCCAGCCTAGTTCATGTACGTATGTCAAGGCAGGCACAGGTCACTGACCTTAAGCGAAGAGCATTTATGATAATTGGCCCCCAGTAAGAGCTCTAATTTGGACGCTCACTGTTGACTGACTGGCACTGGGAATGAACTAGCGTTGTCGAGGAGAGTATAGGCCCGTGATGGGACGCTGGGTGTAGATCCCAGCGGCAATGGCATTAGGAGCTCCGGGCTCTTACTCTCAGTCTTTGATTGCTTTGGTGGAGTAAGTGACAAGACGCCATCTTCTCAGATATTGACGCTCATACAGTTCATTCGCAACGGGATGGTGGTTACCTGGCCTTGTCAGGTGACGGACGCGTTATTTGACAGACTTTGCAGTCTATTGGGGTTAAGGCACGGTAGATGATCCCGCTGATTTACCATTTGTTTTTTTTCCTCGACGTGCATGGATGCCTGGACGTTCCCAAGTCGGGTAAGATGACTGCTGTATCCTATCACCTTGTCACCTGACAACGCAGACTAGTAAGACATAGAAACACCAACTAGCCTGCAGGTTTCGTTTTTGATCCACTATTTTCTGTTGCTTGAGATGGCGTGCGGGATAACGGTAACCGTAAACAGCTGGTTGCTATCGCCATGGGTTCCTACACATTTTCGCTTTGTCATGCCCCTCAGTGCATGTCTCCAGCTCAACCAAACTGTCTAACATTCGGAGATGTTGACTTCTTTCTTGAAGTAATCATCCCGATTTTGTACGTACAATCCTCGCTATCTCTGTTGACTTTACACTTGAGCAAATGAGAGCCCATCTCTGCTCAAAATAGGATCACCGAGACAGGTTGTGAAAAATGGTGCGAACGCGGGACCTTGCGATTGTCATCGGGTTTCCTCAAATTTTGATAGGTACGTGATAAGTGGTACTGTTCTTTATCCTCTTACAACGGGAAATGCTTTGTAGCATTATGATGCAGTGAAATGCATCTTCTACGACCTATCGCCTGAATTGAACGATACATGAGTCGTATAGGCCTAATTCAGGCCTTTTGAAATATTTATCCGGAGCATGAACCCACCCCCATCACCTATTTCACTTCCTCTTTTTGGCGGCGTCAACCCTACAGGTCTGCATCCAAGTACATACCTAATGGAGCCGATATCCCGACGTCGCTTCTCCTAATGATCCCACCAATCAAAGACCTACTAGTCACACATGACGGCCGGAGAATATCTCCACTAGCTATTGGACATGTGGCTCCCTAATTAACCATATTAGGTTTAGATCATAAGATATATAAAGTGCACACTCGTTATAACGTTATGGTTTCGCGAAGCTGGGCCATATTGTTATAACGTTTTAGTGGAGAACAAAGGACGCGTGATACAGTTTTCAAGCAAATGAAGACCTGGTCCACTTCATGCATTTCTGGCGAACCTTCGCACATCGAACGTGACATCGTTCCACCTCACAGATTATGTAATCTAGCTATCTAAATTCTCTTGCCGTTTATCAAGCTCTACCTGCTTCTGGAGGCTTCTTGCTATGTGCATGAGTATCGTGAGGAAGTGTATGACATATTTGGATTTGAATAGGAAACAATGATTTATGCCTTAATTTTAGGCACCTAACTAAACGTAACCGGGCTTAGCCTGTGATAGCGGTTACATCATGTGACAGTAATTCGATAAAACGGCAATAGCCACAATGACATATCGAATATCGGGAGGATGAAGGCTGAACACCTGTCAGTGGTGTCCTACACGGACCTGGGAGTGAAATATTCTCTCAGAGCCGAGATTCAGTCACGAAAAATGGTAGGATGAAATTTATTTGATAGACTTTCGACTTGAAGGAGCTGCACTCGATATTTTGGTCGAAAAACCAGTCGGCAGATATTTCAAAGCCGGAACAAAGTTGAACAAAAACTCATCACCACTAACATACGATTCACGAATGGGCTTAGGTCTGTCTGGGGGTCGTATTCAAACATCCGATATCTCTCAAACTCCTTTTATATTTGCGACGAAGCATTTCGCAGTCGATTCTATACCTGCGACCCACCTCCATACTCGATCGATCATCAACGTACACACGCCCTAATGAGGAAAGTTATGATGGACACGGGACATGTACAAAGGAGGAAGAAAAGGTGAAATACACCGAGAGGATCGCACAAATCCCCAATGACGAAAACAACCCGACGGAACGATATGAAGGTGCAAGGCTGGAGCAACGAAAAGATCTGGTGCGAAAGTTATATATTGGAGTCAATGAGGATGTCAAGGGCTCGGGCGCGTGGTGGCCGAGCCTGAGGAGGGAATTGCGCTACGGCGTTCTTTTTTTTTTTAAATCATTTAACGTGTATGCAGCTATCTAGCTATGACACATGACCGGTGCTATGTATATATGTGGGATGACTCTTTTGACGTTAGAGACACTCATAATCTGGATTTCATTCGCAAATACCACTACGAGGTATGTTCGCTTACACAAACAGTCGACCCTCCTCCATAAGTACCCACCAAAGGGAATATTAAAAACCTTTGGTTATCCAAGCATGCCTTCGTCATCCATGCATACCAGCACCGCGAGAAATGTGGTTGTGATTTGCTGGATTTGAACCAGCGATCTACTGTCTCAAGTGGGATATGTGTCCAAGCTATCCAGACTCTACTTGGCAGACCGGCCAAGACGATGTACCACCGCACCATCCAACCATACCGGTATTTTTAGTGTCGCGTGCACTCTCGCAACCGAAGTCTCGGCACTTACGATGCTCTTCAATTTGTATAAGAAATGATGATGATGATTATATTTATCGTGCCAGGCTTACACCCTCCATCCAATGGACATGACACGCATGGAGGAAATCTAGAATACAAGTTCCTCCATTCTCCAGCAAAGCCCATTCGGTGCCTGTCTTTTCCAAATACGTGCCTCACGCTAGTTACATCGGGTCGAATAGGTAGGAACGCATTAACCATGATCCTAAGACCATGTATTGAGGGAAAACCTTCGAGAGAAAACTTCAATGATTCCTCCTGTACTCTTTCACGACGAGCAGCCGTACTCCCCCCTTAAACAGGCCGTGTAGGAATCCAACCTACCACATTTAGAAAGCACATCTAGCACCCGACCAAATGTGCCAACAGCCTGTTGAAAATCATATATCGTTCTTCCCAAATTCTCCCCTGCATTGCGCTCAACCCCCATTTGAGAGGGCTGAAATTCCGAAATCGAGAGCTCAAAACTGAGGCATCGGTGCCCCAGCTTTTGTCGTAAATTGTTCGTTGTCTGAGTGATGCTTCTTCGTTTGCGCCGTCCTTGGAATGTGTCGAAAGGTTGAGAATGTTGATGTCGCGGTCGAGGTGCTTGTCTAAAACGAGGCCGAGCAATTGCACAGTCCTGCACACAATGTTAGTATAGTTGAAAGCGAAATGAATTTTACCTTTGATTTTGGATGGTTGTTGGTGAGTCGTGAAGTCCTCCCAGTCAAACTCAATCGGGAAGTTGTTAGAAGACTGAATAGAAGAGACCCAAACTTAAACTTTCGATCTATCGTGCCGGGAATGGAACCTAGCCCATGTGTCAACCATAATCGACTGGGCCACGCTCAGCAAGCTGCCGTTGCGAAGGATGCGATTCGTCTTGGCTATCCCAGATATGCATAGCATACTGAGCGATTACACCGGCACCACTGGAAAGTGAAGAATTCGACTTTGCCGGCATTTGTAAAAGAAGGAGACAGGTATGTTCATTGTACGACATGAGTCATAGACTATCTAGCACATTGGGCTCCTCTCTGACCCAGGCCACACCTCGTAAGGTACTCTTTTCCTCTTTTGTTACTTGAAAGATCATTAATATAATGCCCGTGATGAATAGGCATTTAGCTCAGTGTTTACCCGTGGAATTCGGCCACCTTTTCCACGGAACCTTCTACCCATTTTAAATAAAAATGGTAGCAACGGAAACTGCGTGCGCGGGAAAAAGTCTCAAAAAACCTGCAGCCCCAGCCAGGCGAGGCCTAGACACCGGGACCACATGAGGTGCGTATATTCATCTATATCTCCCTTCTTCGTTACATCGGTGGCCGTCTTGATCTAATCCACCATCTCCGTATCGGGTGCTGGGTACACTCCGGAAACTCATCAGGTGGCGTCAAGTTATGAGATATGGATCACAATTCACGTGGCCAAATATTACATGTTACATTAGACATATTGCCGATCCAGAGTTAATGAATGCCATTTCATGACGGGCACAAGCCCCGCACTCAAAGAGCAAGACTAGGAGAAGACTAGCTTCCCAAAAGACTATGTACGACGATAACTCAGCTTGAAATTTGGAATACTTATGTAGTAGGTGCATTCGCTGATACCACTCGAGACACTTGTGCTAGGAACTTTCACCCTTCACTCAACCGTTATTATCCACAAAGGGGAAAACATGTTGGAAATATCGCGCAATGTAATTAGCGCAATATTTGTGGAACGAAAGTAGAAGTTGACTAAAAGAGTGTCATGTTCAGATTATATCTTAAAGTGTGGAAAGTGAGCGCTACAAGTACAGGTGTACCAGGAGGGCAAGACTGAACACCTGTACGCGGTGTCCTCTACGAACCTGGGATTGAAATATTCTCCCAGAGCCAAGTTCAGTCAAATTTCGCAATATCAAAGAAATTGGCCCACGAGGCAATGATTCAAAATTACTCCTCCACGTCGTTTTTTCGCTCCCAACGAGTTCGACTCCTACCTAAGTCTCGTCAAGCCTACAAGTACGCCCAAGTATATCCTCATTCCAATGACCACACCTCTCGTCGACTTTCTCTGGCCTCAACTGGTCACCAAGTACACGCCCACGCCGATATTGATACCTGACAGAGGACAAAAATCTGGGAGACATTTCTTTGGGATGGGCGTGAGAGGGATCAGGATAGGTTGAAAAGATGATGCAAAGGAAGGATACAAACTTGACGGGCGTGTCATTTTGAATTTTGGCAAGATTTTTATGAATTGAGCTCTGTGTGCGCCAAGACTTCGCTTGCGAGAGTGCAGTTGACACTATAAAAACAAGCCAATGATGGAAGATGCCGTGGTCCGCCTCCTGGTGGTGTTCTCCGATATGGTTTGAGTAGCCCGGGCACCTACTCCACTTGGGAAGTAGACGCCTTAGACCATATTTCGCGTGGAGAAAAATCAGTGCATGACGGAGGCATGTCTGGATAACTCAGGGGTTTTGAGGCGTTTCCCTGGGTGGGTATTCACGGATGAGGGCTGACTTGGGGTGAAAAAAAAGCCACCATAACTTTGCGGTGGTACTTGCAAATGAAATCTGAGGTATGAGTGCTCTTCCTCTACGTTGATTCATCTATTCTGTACTTTTTTTTGATATTGCGTCATAGCTAGATAGCTGCATACACAATTAAAATCTGATGCAAAAAAAAAAGTCTGTACTGCAGAAGCCAAGTGTGGTCAGTGTGCAGAAGCATATAATACGAGAGTCTGTACTGGAAAACAAGTGTGACGGCTGTTAAGCCGAAAGACTCCTGTAGTCTACGCTGGCTAGCGTAGGCTATGGCACAAGGGGAAGGTCTCGGAAGCCACAGAACTTCGAATATTCTCAGTGAACCTTCTGGAAACACACGGAAGGTTCATGAGGATAACAGGTGTACCGAGAACCTTCTAGGTAGTTGTAGAAGCGTCTCAATTATTCAGATCACAGGGAGAATCATCATGAAGGGCAGTAATTTAGAATATATATATATATATATATATGTAGACTTTACATCGAGAAATTCTCTCTCCAGAGAATCATAATTAATATGCTGTACTTACAAGATCGCCAAAGCATTTTGTACTGGAACCGTGACAACAAGAGGCGAGATGCAGCAACTGCAGTAGATGTCACGAAGCATGGAACCAAAGCTACCCAGTTAGGATCTGTTATGAATCTGAATCACGTGTTCATAGCCTTGGCGTTTGCGTAATGGGTCTGTTTGACAAAAGCATGTACATAACACTTTTCACTATACATTAGTTAGACAGCATCATGTACGAGCCACATTATTTATCAACAATAATATCTTCTCTACACATCTCTGTCACACAGTGTACACTTTCACAACAGGATCGCAGCTAAAGCAAAGGAAATTAAGAATCGGACACAGGATCCGGGAACCTATAAACGCCCTGAGTTACCATCGAGGGAAGCAGAGGCCGAATGGTAGATTGTAGGATCTAGGAAAAGACGTGCTGATACTGCAGGTCCTCAACTCATCGGAGCAGATGGTGAAGTTAACGTCCGCCGAGACCCTGGACGACCGCGGAAATCTCCAACTTCTAGCAACTTGCCAGTAACATGGGCCAGAATTCCATCAAAGACAGAGCTGATATTTTCAAATACTCCGACTAATCCCCGGACTGTGACGCGGGAGGACCAAGCAGAGGGAAGCGATGCACCGCTGTGTGATATGACACAATGAAAGGCACAAATACGTGGAACATCATACAGTAAAATGTAAACAAAAGTAAAAACAAAGTACAGCATCACTTCATTCAAGAGCTGGACCCCGAGAAACACCATATAGTAGCGGTCCAAGAACCTTGGCGAAACCCCTTGAATAACCTTACCTTAAAGCACCCCGCGTACCATTTGGTCTCCTCAAACAAACCGAACAGCCGAACTTGCATATACGTCAGCAAACGGCTGGCTACAGATAAATGGAGGGTCGAAACTGTCCCCGAAGAAGTCAGTGGAGACATAACTCCGATCAGCCTCCAGACGGAACAGGGAAAAATGAGGTTACACAACATCTACAACCATCCGCCTAAATCTCATAGTAGTACAGAACTAGGGACGCTACAATTTATTTCCCAAATGCTAGCACAAGACGGCCAACACGTTCTGGTTGGAGACTTCAACCTACATCACCCAAGGTGGGGAGGCCAGGAAACTACAATATAACATAAATCTTCGGAAACACTCTTGGAAATCCTACATGAGGCTAATTTGGAATTAATACTACCGGAAGGAACAACTACTTAGGAAGCAGAGGGAGCTAAAGCACTATTGACCTAACCTTCATCTCAAAGGACCTTGAAAATACCATCATAGCATGCCAAACAGCCAACAACTTCGAGTCATCTTCCGATCATATCCCTATTGGCACTCAACTGCGTACACAGCCAATCACACAGACAACACTGGAACCACAGCCACAGTGGAAGAGGGTAGACTGGGAGGCCTTCAACATAAGGCTAGCTGCTATTCTTCACCAGACAATGGAAACTAATCTCCCCGACTCCCATCTAGCCATTGACCATAGAGTCACGACAATCACCAAATCAATTCAGCAGACAATTGAGGAAATGATACCTCGAGCAGTGCCATCTCAGCATTCCAAACCATACTGGACCAAGGAATGCTCAGTAGCAGTTAAAACTGCTAGAATGGCAAGAAGAAAGTGGACCCATACCTACAACAGGGAAAACTTGACTAATTATCAAAAGGCGACAAACCAGAAAAAAGGTACTATTAAAAGAGCTAAAACCGTAGGATAGAGAGCAATTGTATCCGAGGCAACAGAAGACCCAACCAAAATATGAAAGCTGGCAAAGTGGGCAAAGAGAAGTTCTGAAGGTAATGGCATGCCAGCTCTAATCCCCGACATAAAAGGTAATGATGGAAATACCGCCACAGAAGGCAAGGAAAAAGTTATGATCATGGAAGTTCACTTCTTTCCAAAACCCGCTCAAGCAGACTCCTTCGACATTGTCGGTACAAGATACCCTGAAGAAATTGACACAATCTCATGTACTATCACTGAAGAAGAAGTCGATAGGGTTATCAGAGCATTGCCGAACAATAAAGCTTCTGGTCTAGATGGAATACCTAACAGAGTTCTAAAGCAATGTAAGAAAACCTTAAGTAAATTACTCACTATACTTTTCAATGCTTGCCTCACAATAGGCTATCATCCAAAAGGGTATAAAGAATCAACTACTATTGTTCTGAGGAAGCCTCAATAGCCCAGATACAATACTCTAAAGGCTTATAGACCAATTGCGCTCCTTAATACTATGGGTCAAATCCTCGAAAAGTTGGTAGCAGGTCGCCTCTCCCAAGCAGCAGAACACCACAACCTCCTTCCTGACAAACAGATGGGAGCTCGACCACAGAGATCTACAATATCTGCAGTCGAGCTACTAACAGAACAGATACATACAATCTGGGGCAAAGATAAAAAGAGGGTGGCATCTCTCCTCAGCTTGGATATATCTGGGGCCTTTGATAATGTCTCACACGAACGACTCATTCATAATCTCAGGGAAAAATGAATTCCAAAGTGAATGAGCCTATACATAAAGTTCCTCCTCGAAGAGAGAGCAACATCAATAATGTTGGGATCATTCAAAGGGGACCAAATGTCTACCAGCACCGGGATACTGCGAGACTCAGCTCTCTCGCCAATAATCTTTCTCTTTTTTGTTAGTATACTTCTCCCCATGCTCGAGACAAGAACTACGACAGCAGTTGGATTTTTAGCTGACACAAACATCCTGACATGTTCAAATTCGACCTAAGAAAACTGCCAAAAGTTGGAGGAAAAACACCAAGTATGTGAACAGTGGCCATGTGTAACGGTTCCGGTATATAAATCTTGGGCGTTTGTATGTCGAATGGTAAGTTTATTTATTAGCTGAGGAGCAAAAGTAATACTACATCTAACGCCCTATATTTACCTGATTCCAATATTCCAAACACTAGTAGCAGTCTTCCAGTTGTGCCCCCATTATTCGGGTATGGGCTAGTTTCAAACAACGTCTCAAACATGGGCAGTTCCGACTTTCAATACGAGCGTAACTTAGCGCTGACTCTATGAATATATCTGGGCTGAATAGCATAGGCTACAGGGATTTAATCGGCTCACTAGCCGTCACATCAAGAAGACATGGTGTCAGATTCACGCCTAAAAAGTATCAGCTGATGCATTTCTCCTGAGCCAGTAAACTACATAACCTAAAAGCGATAATTGAAATCCACGGCCATACCTCTGTTCCACAGCCTTTCCTACAAGCTTTCGGAATCTACTTTGATCCCAAGCTGAGCTGGGGAGCTCACATCAAGAGCCTTCAACTGAAGGCAGAGATGCAAGTTCTGTGAGAGTCGGAAGTAGAATTGTTTTCAAATTGTACTGTAGGCTATGTTGAAGATCGTGAACTAAAGAGAGAAGTTGGAGTGGGAATGGTCTCCCTTATATACATGGGAATGTGGTCAGTGCTTATGATCTAACAGGGCAGATCCTATGTTGCCTATACAGCCCTAGCTCGTTCATCTATAACCTAGCCTTAGGTGACTTAGGCCCTAGC